GTCCATTAATATAGCATCGTGACATAGATCCTCTAATGCTGATGGTGCTAACTTGGAGCTGTGAGGTCAAGTGGCAAATATGGCAAGTAATACCTTGTCCGGTGCCCTCTCTTCAAATCTACTGCACTTGTTTACATACTTGACATTGATTCAGTCCTTACGTCTATTTTCCATCAGCATGAGCATGCAATACTAACATAAACTACAACTACACAAATCCTTTGCGGTTGCTGTGATTTACTGGACGGAGCCACAGTACAAACTTTGGCCTATTTTGGTTCTGTTCACTCCAACTACGTTGAATTATTCACAGGGCTGCCATAAGGGGAATAGGCATAGTAATGCTAGGCAGGGGCCACGCATGGAAAAGCCTCATAAATAAAACAACATTTGACAAATAAGCTTGACGTCAGTCAAGTGAGCCCACTGCCTCGCTATGTAAGGCTATATCCTTCACTGACGACTGACAAATTGGTTACAAGTTGTTACAGACTACATGCTTCCACTTGATGGTGCAGCAGTTCCTTTTTGAACAATGTTTTAGCTTTAAATAAGGGACTTACAAAACCCCACAAACATCAAATTTGCAAGATTACGATCAAGGCATACAGTGTATACAGTATTCCCACAGCTATAGCTTGTGCTACAAGTTCCTGTTAGCCCAAGGCTTTATGCTGACCACGGAGTCAGGCTACAGATGTAGCTGAATAAGAAGACCACTGTACTTTGCAACTGGAGCTTTGCACCTCTTAATAGTGCAAGTCCTCAAACAGGAATGAAATAGCATCCCAAAACAAAACCCTGCACTTTCCAACCCCTTATGTCTAGACCTATATACAGTAACATATTATAACTTAACCTTCTCCCTGAGGGTCTGGGGTCTCACTTGTTTTCCCACACCCAGTACATTTATTAATGCTACCGCCATTCACTCAGCCTCTCCGCTTTCTCCATCAAAAGACAGTTTGCAGTGAGTCAGGAGGGCAGCATGCCTGCGCAGTGAGCACAGCACTGGAGCTGGAATATACTGAAGCCAACGCAGGTGTCTGATGGCTGGCATCTGCTGGGTGGGCTCATTCCTGCACAGCACCGCAGAGGCTTTGGGGGTGCTGAGAGACACCCTACACCTCTGTAAGGCAGGCAGGGGCAAAACAACACAGCATCACTACTGGTGATGGTCATCAACTGCGACCCTGCCAGACCCCTGCCAAGTACATCACTTTAATCTCTCCGTCTGGGATCAGCAGAGCGGCAGGAGGCTCAAAACTCCATTGCGGACTCGCAACAGAGATTAGTGATACCATGGAGTAAGATGGTGATTATGCATGGACAACATGATGGGTGGATAAATAGATGGATGAATGGAATGAGGGAAAAATAGGTGGTTGGATGAGTAAAAGAAGGAATGAAAGAACAGAGATGAATGGAAGCTATGTCCGTGGATGTAGTGATGGTTAGACTGACGTCCTGCCCTCTGTATATATGCTGCTCAATATCACAGAACCATAATTCAGTTAGTTATAGACCAAGGGACATTGAATCAAAGCTTTAACTCTTCCACTGACAGCAGATTTGTTCTTCTCGTTCCTGGAAGATTGCTTTCATAATCTTATCACTTTTTAGTTGTCAATTGCACAACATGGCCCGCAACACCCTGCACAAGTGTAATCATGGAAAGACATGACATTTAAGACCTCAGACAAATATACATATGCAGAGTATTAAAAGGTTTTGATCAGTCCGGTTACAGACTGGATTAATCTACTGCAGCAACATGCTTGTATTCATATTTCATTTGATGCCAAGTTTAGCAATGGCTGGTAATAAAGTAGGTTCACCTCAAAATGTCAGGAGGCAGCGCTCAGAGACCTGAGCTGAGAAACCACTCAACGCCTGATGAAGAGGCAGTGAACTACAAGCTAACGCTGCTGAAACACAGTCACCATTAAGGGAAGCCAAAACTATCTGACAAGCTCTCTTTACATTCTTTGGCCACGTCTGTCATTTGCTTCACCTCAGTACCAGAATGACAGCATTCTTGCTAGATCAAAAATGTAATTCTGTATTCAAGGAAGTCACATTGGTTTACATGCACACTACTTTCCCTCTCTTATTCCAAATATGACGTATCATGCAAACAGCATATTCCTTTTGTATTTTCCAAGTTAGACCTTATTCCGAATGGAGCATTTTCCGATTCAGACATGTGGGGTGATGCCGAGATTATTCAGGTTGTAGGAGCGTTCTTTGGATATGTATAAAGCACGGAATATAATCGGAATATGCGTCTCATTTGGGGGTTTAAACACATTTTGCATCACACACACACACTCGCCTGTTTACGGTCAGCTCTGTGCATGTGAACAAACAGACAATCCAACAGTTTGCAAGGCTAAGATAGAGATGCATGCACTGAAGAAAAGCCAACATTTGTGCTCAGAAGGAGAAACACAGCTACTTTTAAACATTATGAAAGACTTTTGGTTATGCGCAAATATCGCAACACCAATCTTTTCAAGAAGGTTGAACGAATAAAAGAGGCAGGCTGTGTTTGCACGGTCGAACGCGTCCGCCACCGTTGATACTGAGTGAGCTGATAGCGATCCAAACTAATGCTTGGATTAAGAGTCTTAAACCACTGTATCCTACCCACCCTTAAGCCCCAAGAAAATAGCCTTGCTGCTGACAAGCAGTTGTGGAAGCCAACTCTCGGCTTTGTCCCTGGCCATGAACAGCGCAATGGGCTGCTGACAGGTTTCTCATCAACCCAAGCCAGGCTGGTTGCAATGACAGGAAGCATTTGTCTCAATCAGCAGGTTGCTCGGATGAATTCTGGGAGTTGAGCCTTGCACGCATAGCATTCTTAGTTCCCACACCTCCCTCCCCCTACTCGGTGACCCTCCACGCCAGGAACAAAACCCTGGGAATGTGAGCTATGCGGAGCTGAAGCTCAGAGACACCTGTTCAGACAACCAACAGAGGGCAAAGGCTCCTACGCTGGGTCTCGTCTGAGCCGCTGCATCCGACCCCACCCTGACCTCCATACACACTGTGGGCGCAAAAATCTAGAAACAAGTATCTGTTTTCATGTCACAGGCACTCTCACAACCAAGGCCAGGTGGCAAACCTTTGCTGCTCTTCCCTCGAAGGATGCCATCGATCCCTTCATTAAAGAGTCTGTGAGCCCGTTTACCACAGCATAATGAGGCCATCACACACTTCTCATGATGTTAAGCTGCTGACCTCATAAACAGTACAAGCCAGAGCAACTAAAATGCTTATCATCAAAGTCTCCTGTGAGACTCCCCCTGCCCAGCTGGTATACAGACTAAAGGACTCCCACCTTTTTCTAGGCAAGATTTAAAAGAGGAACTAGGCTATTCCCAGTGAGAGCACTGGGGGGCTGGCCAAAACTGCCGACTAACCATTGAGGTTTCCGAGTTTACACGAAGAAATGTCGGCTCTCTAGAGATCCCACTCCGTGGCATTCAAATACAATGGGAAGAAGGTCACCCTCTTACCGTCTCTCTTTTTCTCACAGCCAGCCCACCATAGAGTGATGAGGAGACCAACGAGAAACAACATTAACTGATATTGTACCTGGCAAGCAAGCAGTGAGGTTTCAAATGAATGAAGATATCTACATTAGTAGACACAAACGTTGAAAGCAATATGCTGTACAATAAATGCAGCTCTGCTGCTTCTTGGGTGATTCATTTTACCTGTAAAGATGTTCCTCTAACCTATTTACACAAGCAATTTTACATCTGAATGAAGGGTTTTTTCCAGCGCCTAAACAACTACTGCGCTACTGCTGAATGACCGACATGTGTGCATTCAAGAAGTATGCAGACTCTGTTAAGGGGAACAAATGACTCACTGGAATGCAAAATGATGGCATTTCCATTTTCAAGAAATTACTACTGACATCTTGGATCTCACTGATTTTTTTACCACATCAAGAAACATATGATATTATGGCTTTTGAGGGGGGGCTATTAGGCATTTTTATGTTAAAGTAACCCACTGTATCTTGTGACAAGAGCTCATTCATAACATGGCAGACCCTCAAGCAATAATGGTTAAGAAAGAATGGTGCAAGACAAAAACACATGGTGTCCCGTGTCATTATAACATACACATTTAGAGTATGCAGAACAAATGGCTGAACTGGGATGTAATGGAAGCTGGCCAAGTGCTGAGTCTCCCAGTGGGCTGCCAGCTCAGAGGCTTGGCGCTATCAGCCAGTGACAAGCTCCGTGTCACCACACTTGAGTTCGCCGGGGCACAAGGGCTCTGTATTCCCTCCGGCCATGCTACATGGCTCACTGTACTTCCTGGAGAGTAGGAACTCCATGCGTTTAGGGTGTGTGTGTGTGTGTGTGTGTTATGTGGAAGTTGAGGGTTGTGTCACGAGGAAATGTTGTCGTTATGTTTTGGGAATATGTCAGTATACACTGTTATTTACTTCTGCTCTAGCTTTCGTGCTGATGCCATTACTACCGCAGCGTATCTCAGAGAGACTCTGTTAGCCCTGCACTGGAGCTGCAGTCACTTTCCCACCGAAACGTTCCACAAGAGAGGATGTCAGGTGAAAGAGCACTGAAACCAACTGCACCAAAAAAAAGTCATAGGAGTGGGGAATTACACGTTTGGGAAGGAATTCTTAGAGGGAGCGTGGGGTTGGTTGTTCTGTTGAGTAAAAACTGTTTTAGTGATGGCTAAAGGTTACTTTTATATCATGCACCTAGCTAAAGGTTAGCAACAGCAGAAGTTCGTTGTTAGGTTAGGAGGACCACACAAACCGAGTCCGGTAATAGTGCTCTGTCATTAGGGGAGTAGTTGCGGTACAGCTGTAGCTTCTGTATTCCCCCAGAAAGCCAAAACCATATTTTAGAGTACTTTCATTTCGATAATTCCCACTGGAACTGACTTTTTGTTGTCATCGGCTTGACTTGTGAAGATAGGTTTTTAGCGAGATACAATATGTTGGTACTCACTTAGCGTCGGGGGTCGGAGTTGAATGGTGTCTTGCTGGTCACAGTGTACTCCAATGGTTCCTTCGAAAACAAAACTTCTCACTTGTTTTTAATATTTTCCACTTTAGAAACCGTGATTTGCTCCTCCAAATCTCCTGAACTCATCCCCGCTCTCAGTGGCTGTCCACTGAACACAACCTTTCAAAATGTTACGCCTCGGCTGTGCCACTCTCCAAGACAGACAGAGCGGTGTGTCAAGGCGCTGACTTGGAAACGGTTTTGTTTGTTTAGACTCTGCGTTAGCGGGTGGATGTGTGACGGCACCAAGCTGTTCTGAGATCTGCGCCGTGCAGGGCTTTCGCACAGAGTCCGCCCAGTCTGTTCGTTCATTGGTCAGTGTTACCATTAAGGCGCGGTCAGGGGTTCAGTTCTGCGTTTTGATTGGCTTGTGGTATTGTCAATAATCAGCCAACTCCTCCGTCGACAGAAGAAAACAAAACAACCGCACTTAGACAGCATGAGAAATAGTGACAGACATAAATAAACATGTAGAAGAAACAAAACAAAACGGGAGACCATTGTGAATCGCCGTTTTATTGCAAAGGGAAGGTTATTTCGGTTAAATCATTAGCCAGTGAATTCTCACATAAATTAGATCTGTGTCAAGTTAATATTCTATTAACTGTATACCTGTTGGGCCAGACAGCCCAATATCAGACTCAACTCACCGTTGCACTTGCACTTATGTTGGCTTATATTAAGCTTTGGCTGTCTATAAATCTGTTCCCCAATTGTAAAATAATGTACATCTGCAAATCATTTATGCCAAATATGTTGTCTTGTTTTTTTATTTTATTTATTTATTAATTAAAAAATGTTTTGCTTTGCATTTTTTTCAATGCACCCTTATTAAGATGTGTTAGTTTTTATACCCTGGTAAAGAGATAAACAATATTTTGTACAGCTGTATTTTTGTAAATGGTTGTAATAAGGTTATTGTTAACATGACTATATTTTTATTTTATTTTATTTATTTTATTTAGGAGTGGGCAATTCATGTAAGTGGGTATCACTTGGGAGAGTTGTGTGGCTTTAATGCCAGAGATATAAAAGTGGTTTGATACCTCCCCCTACAGGTCACGTTAAGACAGAACTACAGCAACAAGTAGTCAAAGACCAGAAAAGGCACTTGGTGAAAGATTCTTCTAAAAAAGAAATAAAAGGTGTCATAAAATCAATAGAAAATAGATTAGTAGTTAGACCAGTGTTCTCTAAAATCACAATCAACTCTGTGTACTCCTACTGACCACTGATCCTGGGAAATCCCACATGCATGGACTCTTTTTACATACAAATTCACAAAACAGTGTGTGTGTGTGTGTGTGTGTGTGTGTGTGAGTATGTGTGAGTATGTGTGTGTGTGTGTGTGTGTGTGTGTGTGTGTGTGTGTGTGTGTGTGAGTATGTGTGAGTATGTGAGTATATGTGAGTGTGTGTGTGTGTGTGCGTGAGTATGTGTAGGTGTGTGTGCCTGTCTGTGTGTGAACAAGTTCCAGAAATGTGCAACAATAGAAGCACCCCCTTTTGTGCCCCCTTGTCCCCACATTAAAGTGTGCTGTGTGCCAAAACGCTGAAGCGCAGCTTCTTTTGTCCTAAGCCTGGGGTATGATGTGCGATATATTGTCCTGGAACAATGGAGCCTAGCAGCCCTCCTCTGACAGCTACTCCCTCTGAAGCATTAATACAACCTGGTCAAAGCCACAAAATGTGAAGAGAGTGCTCTGCATGCATACACAGGCCTAAGTGTGGACTTGCAAATGATCAGTATACTACTAGCATGTGTATTTCTACTGCTTATTCTCAGATATACTTTATATTATATTGGTGTATTATAATATAACTGTTGTCTTTAACCACAATGCAGTGTGCACAACTTTTTTTCTGTCAAAAAGTGAATATTAAAATACAAATGTCTAAATACAACAGTTATTTATAATGTGAAACGTGCAATTGTGCCCTAATGAATGTAGCTGCAGTAATCATGTTATCGTTTGGGTTGATCCTATCTTGTTCAAAAGTTATTACAGCTTAGATTAAAATCCCACATGGGTGTATAGGGATTTATTGTTATTGTGATATCTTGATAAACCCTGCCTGCGATGTCAGAGAATAACCACTAGATGTCAGGAGAAAACAAGTCACTGCTCACTATAAGCCTGTAATGTTTTATAAAACATGATATCTACAATATATGAACATATCTTCAATGCAAATGGTCTACCTGTATATAATATGCGAATGGTTGAGAAAGGTTAGAAAATTACAACAACAGCACGAAAAAAAGTTTTAAAGTTTTTAAAGACTGTTCGACTCCAGCCAGTGTGTGTCCCGGATGTTGCCATCGGAAGGAGGAGGTGGAGAATGGGGGGGTTGCAGTCAAGGTTGCCAGATCTGTAGAATAACCCCATTAGTCAAACGTGTTTGATTGGTATTTCCCAAATACTCAATCTCGCAGAAGATTGGCAAAATTAAACTCATGACACCTGAGCGTAGATTTTTATATTTAATTCCTCCTAAATGTGTATGTTCCAAAAGCACTGCGTCTTTAGCAAATGTGATTTATATACATATTAATCTAAGTAGTAGTTAACTGAAATAAAAAACACATATATTTATGAAGTTAAACCAGCAAACAACAGCACATCACGTTGGTAACACGACATAATATGATTGCATGGCACTTTCCACAGGTACCATGTATATGAAGGCTTTTCCCCACACTGGTGAATATCTGGCAACCCTGCGCGCAGCTCCAGCGCTCCGTCTTCTCTCGGCAGACAGAGTCCCGGCTGTGTGTGTGTGAGTGGGAGATGGACTGAGTGAGGGCGCTCTTTCGACCAGTGCTGCCGATAGCATTGAAATACCCACAAGCTAGGTTGAAATAATTGACGATTTCAGGTCGCTGAATCAACAAGAAAAACATAGTACCGTTATCAGTCTTTCACATCCCACTCCAAACACACTAACACGGCATTGATGGTAATGTATGCAAGGAAACAACCGAGACTCGGCGATGGGTAAACATCTCTTTAACGTTACTTATTCAGATTTTTCCTTTTCCTCGTAACGTTAGCTACGCTTTGACAATCCGCCATTTTTATTGAAACCAAAATAAGTGTCTGGAAACTTGCAGGTTCAGCTGTTGCAACACTTTCAACTATCTCTCGAGGTTGACATTTGAAGCTTGATATTAACAAGAGTTTTCTTTATATTTACAGGTGCGACCGAAGAGATTCTCAGCCCTATCAGGTACTTGTTAGCTAACCGTAGCCTGCTAGCTTGCTAGCAGCAAATAAGATTAAAATGGACACTCTAGTTCAGGCTTCTGCTGAGCACAACAGGCCCCAGTCAGTGCGGAAAATAAAGTGAAAAGTAAATGATTTTGTTTGAAATTGCAGCTTGAGCGCTGCAAATATTTCCTAACGTATATATAGTCAGGTAAAGAAAAAACAGACGGAGTGTATTCGTCGAGTTCAGCTGTTCTGGAAAAGGTACAGGCGAGTTTTATTACAGCTCAGAGCTAATGATAGCCTGGTACTGTTAGCTACCTTGCTAGCCAGTCCGATTAGGGCCTGACCGCAATCTGTCATTTTAAGGGTACAGCTAGCTGAGCTCTCGAAACATCAAAGTGTTCTATATATATACTGCCAAGCAATGTATTAACAATTAAATTCTAAATATAGTTAATAAGCCAAACCGATGGCTGGTAATAGTTGGTCTCATAAAATGTTGTTTACTTCGTCATTATCAGAAATGATACATTTGTCATTATACATAAACACATCGTTACCAAGTGAGAAACTAGTCAACAGCCATACTAGCACAGCGAATGTGGCTGCTTAGTAATGTAGCACTGGAAGGAATTGACAGAGATAAAGCTGCTTTCAAATAATAAATAATTAGCTGCATGAATGGAGATAAGCTCTGCAAATTAATTCCTGAGATATTCAAACTTTGATGCTCAAGTGTGCTGACACTGCAGTGCTTGGAGCAGCCGAACATAGTGTTTGAGAGACCTACTGATGACTGCACGCACAAGATAATGGGTTGTAGTGAGGTTTTTGATTTGTGTCCACAGACTCTCAAATACTCATCTAAGAGCCATCCAGGAGGTGACCACCGACATGAAAAGATGCGAGACTCCTCAGATGTCACCCCTCCTTGTAAAATGCTCAGGAGGTCTGACAGCCCTGAAAACAAACACATCGACAGCACAGGGCACAGCAGAGCAAAGGCTGTCCACACACACCGGGCCAGAGACAGGGATGGAGGTGAGAGACCGTGGTTAATGAGAATAAAATGGGTTTAGAGAACAGATATTTAACTTTTATGGCTAATGTCACTCAATCCAGTAATATTCAACACTAAAATTCAGCAGCCTGGTACTCTGCAGGCAGTACAGCTTGCTTTAGGCTTATTTATGTCAGGAAGTAGAAAGTATAGTTGCTGTTTTCAACCAGACATGCCTAAAATATATGAACTTACAAAAGTAAGTAACAACCGACCAATTTTCTATTTCAGTGTTTCCTCTATGTTGATTTTGGAGCCGCTGTTAAATTTCTGCCACCACGGTATCAGAAATGGGGCAGATGCACAATGTAGTCACGGTTGCCTTTTAAATGGTCCTGCCGACATAATGCACCCCCGTTGGCTGCCGCTCACATTGCAATTTAACAACAAGTAGAACTATTCAGAGGTTATTGGGGCTGTCCAGTTCAACTCCACATTGTAACTCCAACGTTCAACTTGTCAGTTCTCAGCTCAACGTCCTGATATCAAACATCTGGAAACATTAAAACGGTAAATATATTTGTTTGTGTTGCAGCGAAGTGTCAGTTCTGTTTCATACGTAAAACGTTTGCTGACGGGGGGGTGTGGGTGTTCGGACAGGCCTGCCCCCACTGCTAAAATAAAATCCTAGAGGAAACACTGTATTTAATCAAGAAGCATATTATTTTTACCAGTCGGGTAAACCTCAGCTGTTTCTATAACAGTAACTACAAATCTAGATGTTTTGCAAATATATTTGAATTCTAATAGACACCACACGCACTGACCAGGCATTCGTGTGTTGAACGGAATATGTTGTCGGTGGAATAAGTGTCTTTTTGCCTTGTTTAGGGTGTCACTAACATTATATCAGAAGTACATTTTCCTAAGGTTTGAAAAGGGAATCTTTAGGGATGGAAAGTGGAAATTCGTATATAGGGGTAGATTTAAATGTTGATTTAAGTCTTGCAGTATTTTCTTATTTCAAGAGAAATGAAAGGAAACAAACATTCCTCCATTTCTCAAAAATGTATTAAAAAGCATTTTGATCCATGTTTGTGGTATAATTTTGGTGTATGAAAACGCATTATTGCAACATGGGGCATTTCAGAAGAGTATTGTGTTGAGCTGCCAGAGTTGAGTTTGCAAACATAATGTTTTGTGTAGCCGGTTTTTCAAAGTGATACATTTGCTTAGTGAAACATTTGGAAGACTGAAGTTGATCTGCAGCAGTCACTGCTCTGTGTGCAATATTTCTGTACTACAAACCAACAGCACATACAGTTTTACAAGGTTTCCCTCACTGACAGAGAGGCCTGGTAGAGATGTTGCCAGTGGGGTGGGTTAATTTGTAGATTGTGTGTTGAAACTATGACCCTGATGACCACAAATATTCACTGGAATTTGTGTACAGATTCTGAGAGACAGTGTTGCATTTTATTTCGAGATATTTGAGATTGAACTGGTATCGAAGGCTTTAGACACGGACAGTTGAAATACACTTCCAAAGTAAGAGCTTTATTTATTTCAGCTGTCTTCTGCTATCATAGATAGTAGCCATTTACCCTTGAACTTATTGCTTTTTGTTGTAAATGGCATCAAACAAGAGTTTTTTATGTCTGCTTGATGTGTAATAACCTTGCATGTAATTTCGATTTAGATAGCAAAGTGGTCTTTCACAGAATTTTAACACATGATTAATATAAATAATGGACGGATGCTGATGAAAAGAAGAATATAGGTGGAAACAGTGCTGATACGATGATAAATGTATGTAGCAAAACACAGAACACATGGGATGACTGTCAAAGTTAAACTACAGAAAGATGTACCGTCATCTCCCAAGATTAACCAGCTGGTTACAAAGCTGTGCTGAGTCAAAACTGTGAACAGATGACTCACTGATTCAGATCAGTATCAACATTTTTATTTGCAACTTGTAAAATAAAAGGAAGTAGATATTAGATTTGAAATAATGGGATGCTAACTTAAAGCTGCCCTAATCAACACTTTTCTATGTACAATAGGTCAAATGACTATCTGTAATGTGAAAGGTGGTGCTTGTAGTGACAAACCTACTGAGAATAATTGCCCAACTCTTGCCGTCCTGCTTAGCTCTGCAGAGTGTTTTTGCATCTTCCAGCTCATTGTTTTGGTTTTCTGGCCAAACTTTACCATTTGGATTCAGTCTCACCTCTGTCATCCGCCTTGTTTCCAGACACAGCAAGCAGCTGTTCTCACCAACCACGCTCTGATGAACCCACTGTGTACTACCTGCTTAGCACCAAACAGCAGACAGCTGCGACTAGCTGGTGAACATAGTGGAGAATTTAGCACCTGTAGACCCAGCTAATATTTTTCAAGAGTTGATTTAAAAAAAAAAAAACTAGGCATGTAAAACTAGGGTCTTACATGAAATGAACACCCAAGTGAAAATGTTGGTGTTTCTGCACTGCACAGAGACTGTAGGGATTAGCCGATCGTTATTTGTCTGGTTTAAAAAAAAGCAGTGGCTGGTTTACCTTTTCCATCTGCAGCCGTCTTGGCCCCTAGGCTATAGCTAAACAGTTCATTCAATCTTTGCAGATCAACCCTTAAGTTCATTGCACTTATCCTCTTACATCTTCTTCGCTACATCAGTTGTTGTTTCCCGCGATGATAGCTTGTACTCCAGCTCAACAAACGCCATCAGCTGACAAAATCCTCCTCCTTCCACAAAGTTTAGGCACATATCTCCAGTTACCCGTTGTGTCACGGGCCAGCTAATCTCTGCCTTGGCAGCATCACAATGATGTTTGGAAACACCGCTAACGTTAACAAATGAAGCGATTGAAGATTTCCTGTTAACCGTCTCTGCTGTTTTTGCCTTTTACTCAATCTACAGATGGTTTATCATAGAATTGGTTGTTCTATGATACACAAGTTTGCTATTGCATAGCTTCCACTGCACGTTCGTTTAGTCTACTGGTCATCCTTCTGCCTGCAGCTGTGCATGCGTAGACCCAATGTTAGTACTTAAAACGCTGAACAAATACCAATGTCCAGAGGAGTACTCATACCCATCCCTAGTGAAAACCAAAACAGAGCTGAAAGGAGAGTAAATAATCAATTTACATTTATCCAGCGGCCAGAAGCTCGATTCCAAATGAATGTTAACATTGTTCTGTGTCTGCTAGACGTGTAAACAAGCATAGCAGGTTCATCATAAAAATCTCAAAATCATGTGTCAGTGTGTGGAATATTGAGCTTATTGAGGAGTTTAGTCATATTGCAGCTTGAAATGATTTAGCTGATCATTTCATGTCAACCGATGGTGCTCACCTCATAGTTGTAGCTACAAGTTGTAAACATTATAGGCTAACGCCCAAAAAGAAAATGTATGGTTTCTCAGATGAAAGGAGGTTTCAGATCTTAACCGAGTCTGTGTAATTTTAGTTATTTATAACTTACTTGCAAATGTTGACAGCTAAACCAAATTATGTTTGATGTGGGAATTGAAAGTGTTTATTAAATGCTATCGGCTCACAAGCACAGCATAAGCTGGGAGCAAACTAGCAAGCTCAACAGGGGAGATGCACAAGTTGGTACGATGATCAGTGAGGGAAAACGATGTTGGGTGCTGTTTAGAAGATTGATTTTTCTGACCCTGCACTGGTATTATTAATTAGTCTCAAATTCTAGACTTTTTTGAGAAGGCTTATTGGACTGTTCTAAGTACTGTTTGTTATCTTTAAAACACTTTAAGCAAATAAGTTCTACATGTAAATTTTAAATTACAAAAAAATATATTCTAAAGCAGAATGCAATAACACACATCAGCAGCATCACACAGCACAGACTAGACACACTATAGAGACGACAGTAATCACTGAGTACTGTAGCCCTAATGTGCCAAATTTAGAAAACAAACATGAAAAAATGGCTGCTTTTGTTGACATGTATGGACGCTGACAAATAGGACAGTGAAATGTTCACGCTTGTAAAAATGCCACCAGTCTGCGGGCTTACATAAAAAACAATGAATGTGGACCTTTTTGATGCACATTATACACTGCCAATGTGTGTGTTGCCCTTTAGAGTGCTGTTTCCTGTTATTAAGTGAGTTCTGCATGGTGTAAAAAGGTTAAATCAAGCAAGTCTGTTTTGATTTCAGCTACAGGAAAGAGGTCTTTATTGGTTTTGTTCATATAACTGATATTTAATGCCACTGCAGGGCTCCAGACTAACTTGTTGCATCAGTTGCACTGGTGCACCTAACTTTTTTTTTTAGGTGCGCCAGCACAAAATGTAGGTGCACCCAAATATTTCATTGCGTTGCCTTTAACGCCATATGGTCACCTTTTTATCGCTCTCCATAACTTTCATATAATGTGAATGATTTTTAAACAAGAATAAGGTGTAGAGAAATGCTTGTCTTTATTTGAAGCACAATTATATATAAAAAGAAAAGTAAAGTGTTTAAAGTGCTTCACTGAGCTGAAATTGAACATTTCAAATTAAAACACTATGCAAAATAAAACATTTCCAATTAAAAGAGGACCTGATTACTACTACCTGCCGCTGAAATGCAGCTGGGAGAGGGGCCACTTTCTCTACACACTTGTCACGGCATATCGTGTGTTTTTTAGACATGTTATGTTTTTTAAAGTTTCGATACGAAACGTTGTTGACCCACTCACGAATGCACTATTTCCGGCCATATTCTGACCGCACTCCTGACAGTACACGCAGTGCATTGCGTTACGTCCTTTGTTGTACCCTGGAGCCCTGCACTGGGGAAATGTATAGTTTAGTATAAACTATCTCTTGTAATTTTGCACCTGGGGAAAAAAACATCTGTTTTGTGGCTAATGAGCTGATTGCGAATGTAATCATATATTACTCATGATTCTGCAGCAGATGTCAGCTCTCAAAATAAAAAAAAGGCACCTGGGACTCTTAAGTCACAGTGTCCGGGAAAATTCTGGGGGACAGTAGAGAAATGTATTATTACAAATGAAATTATTATTCGCAGCTTATTCAGACCATCCTGTAAAAGGTGAGAAATATATTAAGATGTATTGTAATTCATCCCCATGCATGGTGCTCAGAGTAATCCCAATCCACTTCATCGGGGTCTCTACCTCTCCTCTTGTGCAAGCAGACAGTAGTACGTGGCATGTGGCGCACGTTTGATGTTCTGTTTCACTCTTTCTCTCTGGATCTCTGCATTAGGGTGTTCCTGTAGCTTGTAAATTATTTTTCACTTTTTTATATACTTCAAATATATTACATTCCTGTAGTGACTTTGTCATTATTTGGTGGCCTGGTATCTGGTTGACAGCGTGAGGAAAACTTTTAGTAACTGTAGACTTGATTTCCAAAATGTTTTCATACATGTATGTCTAATAGTCTCGGTACTCTCATTACTGTTGTAACTAATTAGTAAGTAAGGATGTCCCCATTTTCCTTGATGTCCAGTGTTATGCTAAACCTTTTGTTAGATTCAAATATTTTGTTATATGTTGCGGTGTTTTCCATAGCTTTTATTGTAGAGGCGTCCTACCTCGCCGAAATGTAGAGCACCTCAGAAAGAATGAATACATTTTTTGATTGAAGTGTTTAAACTGTCATCCAGTCACCCCATTGGTGGTGAGTTACAATAGCTGGTTCCATTTTAATTTCACTGCCTGGTAAAATACCTGAACTCTTCAAGCTCACAGGATAATGATTCTCTTATGATTGATTTTTAGCTAAGAACAATGCAGAAAACATTCAGGTGACTCTGTCTGTCACTTTCTGCAGTTAAAATGACAGACTTCACAGGCAGTAGTCAAATATCATCTGTTGCTAATTAAAGTTCATTCTATAATGGTTAATATGAGTCTTTTGGCTGCTGTCAGTTTGATGTGTTCACTGTGTACTCAGTACTCTGTACTCAGCCGGTTGACCTGAGTGATAAGACTCATCACTCTTCAACACCACTGTGCAGTTTCAAGTGAACTGTGTTTTTTGTAGTTAAGCAATACCAATAAAGTGGTGACTCTTTCTCAAGAAATAATCTAGCAAGTCCTATCACATCAATTTCAAAAGATTTTTCTACTTAAACCTTTTATGCATATCATATTGGTACTTAATCAATGTAGTAGTTTCATAACTGGATCTCAAGTATTTTGAGGCATGCTTACCACCTCCTCAAACCAGTTTCCTTGTGGGGACGCCTATGTTGGATAGCGCCGAGTCTATGGAAGGAGGAATGTCATTTTGAATCAGTTGTGAACGTGATTTGAACAACCTTACTTTGAACACACCTGCAAAATGCTACCCTTGCTAATTAACTCCTGTCATTGAAACTCAAACACTACTTGGGTTGTATTCGATTGTCAGTAAAATCAGATTTGGCTGTTCAATATGAAGATTCTACTATTTTTTTCTTCCACCTATCTATCCTTTTTGTTTGAGTTCAGTGCCACACTGAACTGATATCAGCTTACACAAGTCTTCTAAAGAGTAATGTTTTACCTGTAAGACTCACATTTTATTGCCATTGTTTTTCTTCTGTCATTAGTGCTGGGTGATGTAGTTGAAAAAACTGTCACTATAAAATGTTCAATTTCAGTCAATATAGATAATAACGGGTTCATTTTAATGGCCTATTTTAGTTTTTTGAAAAACAGGTGAAAAAAGGTTGAATTTACCCACTTAACTTATCAAGACACGTAGGTAATATTTTAATTTGAATGTTTTATCATACGGTATTGTTGTTAAGTACCTCTCCATTGTGGATTGTCTGTGGTTTGCTTCTTGCGATGTATCCGATGTAGAGATAGATAGAGAAAGTAAAAGTGTCCGTCCTCCTCATAGTTCAGTTATAAACTATCTGTTCTGCTGGGCTGCTGACAGTGCTGTCAGCCAAAGAGTCAGTCACAGTGGATGGCACTGGAGGAGGATTTACCATCGTCTGGTTCAAAAGTGCTTTAGCCGACTTCACTGACAGTCATCACTGAAGCAGAGTGCCCCAGAGCAGCGAACAGACTGGAGTTGCACTGCCCTCTGTTTCTATCGCCCTTTTCTGCTTTTATCACAGTTAGTTTTGTGGTTTGTGGTCATTGTGACTCTCAGTAAAGTTTCCAGCTTGCCCTGCTGTTGCTCTTGCATTGCTTTGTGAACAGTGACGCAGATTAAAAAACAAAAGTGCATTGATTTGACTGACAAAATGCGAGTCGACTCATGATCTTCTCGACTGATGACTCGAATCATCATCTTTCTGTTTGGGTAGCCCTAAACACCACTACATAAGGAAACTGAAGTTCAAAATGTCCTGAATATTACTTTAAAACAAAGGATTAATAAAGCAGGTGTGAGAGCTTGTAGGTATCAATATTTCAACACCCATTTATGTGCCACAGTGTATTGACAACATGAGTAAAGTGCACGTCCTTGGTATTAAAAGTGTTACATAGAGCACCGTGTATCTAATGTGATATCCAAAGCAGCAGATGAAAATAACAAAGGTCGTTAGAAATAAATGTTACAGAGAAGTAACTGGATGAATCACAATTAATCCAATGCACACAATACTATCTGAGCAGTGACTCTCACAGTTTGGAAACATGCCTTAAAGAAACACTGTTTGGAGCTGCAACAGCTACTGAATTCCCAGATGTTAGATTGTGCTGTTCTGAACAGGGTTTTGGATGATGGGAACAAGTAATCAAAGTTATCAGTGCCTTCCATCAATGCACAGTAGTGGGAATGATTATGTACCTGGGGAAAAGGTTTTGTTGTTAATGTGATGTTGATCTGATTTTGGGTAGTGTGGGTCAAGACTCTCCAAGCTTAAAAAATAGTTACAATCAAAATTCAGTTTTTCCATCAGCTTCAGTTTTGTTATCTAGTATTTTTATTTCAACAAAATTGCAAAACAGTTTCTCTAACTCTGTTACCAGTCAGCTTTTATCGTCTGTATGTTGTTTCTCATTGTCTAGCTGCAGTTATATGAAGTTATAATACCAAGCCACAGTTTACAAGCTAAAGCATTTATTTAACACTGTTGGACATGCCACAGATTGTTGCCGGTGGTTCTGTATGTACAGACTGCCATAGATGGCTGCGTATGGTGCTCAGTGAATCTCTCCTCACCTTCTGTTGTACGTAAGAAAACCTTGTCACCAGAGGCTTTTATTTCAAGCTTGCCTTCCTTGTTGTGGTTTGCCTCACTGACATATAATTAAACCCCCAAAGAAATCTAAAAAATGTTACAAATGTCAAAATATCCTGAAGTGCTAACACTTGTGGCATCTAATAATAGTAGAGGTGAGAAGATGGGATGAGCAAAAGCAAGTTCAGTCTTGCCATCTGATTGCTACACTTGTAGTAGTGTTGGCTGTGTTTTCATATCAGAATTATCAGGAAGCAGCTTAGTACTTAGTGGACAGAGAATCTTAAACTTGGGATGCTTTGTTAGACAAACAGGTGTAGCAACAAGTTTAAGTAACGGTGTTACATTAATGGAGTTGCCATATAGCTTGATGGTTTAGCTACAGTCAGACACAGTATACTGCGGTTTTCAGTGTAGCCGTAGAACACAGACGCAAGGGCGAATATATTGGCAATCGCTGATTGTTGGACTGGCAGTGGCCAGTAGAAAATCTGTTTGCAGTACACTTTTTTTGAAATCGACTGTGCTAAGAATTTCGGAGAGACTCTTGTAAGAGCATAGTGAAATGTTTGTCAGTCCATAATAGAGGGCCTTAATCTCATGGTAAGACTCCACAAACAGCTTATTTAGAGCTTTGGAGAACTAAAACAGGTTGTCGCACCTGTGTCACAAGTTTAGGACCAAAATCCCTCACTGTGAGTGCTGCTACATAGCAACAAATTGGAATATGACATAAGATAAACTTGAATACACTGGTAAGCTAGCGAAATGCGTTTCAGGTTTTTAAAGCAGAAAAGTGCCAGTGCTATAGTCGGTGTTTATTGTTTTGCTGCATTAACAAAACACGAGACCGGGGCAGTGGACATAGTTTGAAACCAAGACTTTAATAGCCCTTGCAAGATGGTTATCGCACAGTCTGTATACACCCGTAAAAGGTATTTATTATTGCTTGTGCATGTGTCTAAAAGTTAAAGCCATGTAATATTTGACCACCTATTGTCTTTCCGTTTTCTGAGGCAACTGTGAGCATTCATGTCCTCGGGTTGGTGTGTGCATTTTGTTGTAGTTCTCAGCCAGGCTTTTCAGCTATGTCTATGAATTTGGCACAATATTGTTAATGTCTGTTACTGATGGTGTCTTTCCCACTCCTTGTGTTTTGTTGCAGGGACCAGTTATTCTCCACAAGAAAATTCTCACAACCACAGTTCCCTTCATAGCTCCAACTCACATTCTAACCCCAGCAAGACCTCAGACACAGTAAGTGTTACCGCTGCCTTAAAGATGGACGAAGCATATTTTTTTCCAGGACCGTTTCCTGGTGCTAGCTTCTGTTCTGTAGTTTCACAGCTTTGATGTTTTTGGTTTTGTTGTACTTTTTATGTAAATATGAAAAACATTCAATAAAATGTAACACACCACTGCTTTGATAGCAAAGATAAAATCTAGGAAAATTTTACTACTTCATATTGTCAAATGAAAACCCAGCACAGGGATTAGTGCAAACATCATTCAGTGGCAGACAATCATTTGGCTTACATTATTTTCTTTTCATTTCCTCTCTAATTAAAAGTTAACTTTTTGGTTATTAATGTAGATTAAATAACTTTTCGGGAATGATTTAAGTTCTCTGCTCATTTTGTTTCCCATCCTTTAATGTTCTGTTTTTACGTTCTTAAGCCAAAATTCATAACTCATGTTTTTTGTTCTCCCCTTACCCACATGCTTAATGTTAATTGGGGAAGAAAGTAATTCCCAAGTAATGCTGTTTAGTCAGCATATGTGATAAAGAAGGCAAAGTTACATTACAGTGCTAATGTGAAACATGTTAACTGCACCACCAAGAAGAAAGATCTGATGCTGTGATCAAATGTGCTCTTGAACAGTGTTGAATATCAAGAAGATTCAGTTACACTGTGTTTATGTAAAGTTATTTACAGTTTCAGTAATGTATAAACAATAATTAACAGTTTTTATTTTTTGCATTTGCTTTACAATATTGACCTAAATAACAAAATTAAATTGGGACATTATAAGGCGATGGGGGCACAGGATTACAGTGTTAAATGGTAACAGGATGCAGGAAACGAGCAGAAATCATCAGTCACAATACAGTGGACCTTTCTTAATAGCAAACTGTTTCACTTTGGTTACCTTAACAATCTTGTCTCTGAATTAAGCCATCCCTCCCATTTAAAAAGCCTCTGTTAAAACAGCTCAGCTATAGCTATCTGCCATCCCCAGTATCTCTCGTACATTTCAGATCACATTACAAGCTCTTGCATCAGATCTCCTCAACAGAGACACACGCACACAACTGGCTTCTGTCTGGCTGGCCTCATGTTCCTAAATATTTTCTCTTTATCTCAGCCTTATGAACCTGGTGACGATTGGTCAGAGCACATCAGCTCATCTGGAAAGAAATACTATTACAACTGCAGGACAGAGGTGTCCCAGTGGGAAAAGCCCAAAGAATGGCTGGAGAGGTGACTATAATCCATTTACCCAAACCATTTGATAAAACACACATTATTGTAAGCAGTGTCAAATAAAGGTTGTATATGTGGTTAACATCTGTTTGCATGCATGCTTGTATCTATTTCACAGAGAACAGAGGCAAAAAGAGGCAACAAAGACTGCGGTTGTCAACAGTTTCCCCAAAGACAGGGACTATAGAAGGGAGGCAATGCAAGCATCGGCAGCCCCTGGCTTTACTGGTGCTAGTAAGTGTTACAGCACACATCCTCACCTGTCTGCTGCAAGTAGGGTTGCAAAATTTCAAAGTTGGGAACTTTCCATCGGAATTAACGGGAATATATGGGAATTAAAGGGAATGAACAGAAATAAATGGGAATAAAATTGATATTTTTAATATTGCTTGTTATAATACTGTTAGTCTATAACAGGGAACTTACATGTAGTTGAAAAGAAACATATTGCAGGATAATCTTGCTTAAAACAACCTGATTTAATGCAACTTCAGTTGAATGTCCTCCCTATATTCGTCAATGACATGCACACACGCAGTAATCAGCATAGGCTACTACATACTTGCCAACATTTATTTTTTTAAATGTTTTTTTCTTTTTTGGGGGGGGTTAATACATAACCCATTGCTATTAACCTATTTGGTGATTGTATTGTCCGCATATAACCATAGCAAAGGCAAAGCTAAAGGTCAATGGTTTGGGCTACTACTTGTGGTGCTATCCATTTGTCTCGTAAATCCCCCGCCCGAGTTGCTCTGACGGGAGAATGTGACTTAATTGCCTGGCTTGTACCACTTGTAGCGTTCCATTTGTCTTTGGGCATTACCAGTCGGAAAGAACATGGACGTCACCAGTGCAGCAGCTGTCTTGTTATTGTTTGTGGCTCATCTAAACAAGCTCAATGTGAAATAATAATGTTTTTCTACAGAAACACTAACATTTCAAGTAATTCCGTTATAAGTCTTACATTTCAATAATATTTTGCCATTTTCGATTTCAATTTCAACAAGTGCTTTGGCGTTTTTCTCGAGCCACCAGGGGCAGTGGCAGGCTAGTGTTATTGTTAGCTACGTTAGCCTATTTAGCAAACCAGCTCGAAAACAAAACTTTACATTGTACTGCATGCACAGCAACACCGTGCAATGCATAAATTGATGACCGGACTAAAGCAGCAATGTAAACAAGTGTGTAAGAGCATTTAAAATCGACATTAAAACGACCAACGTAGTACAAATACAAAGAAATACATTTCAATATTGTATGAATTACCCAACTTTTCCAGTTAATTCCCATAATTTCCCATTAATTCCCATGAAACTTTCCAAATTGGAATGTTTCCCAAATTCCCCAGCTTATCTTTCCATGGGAAGTTTCTGGAAAGTTTCCGGAAATTTACCGGAAAATGTACGCCCCTTCGCAGCCCTAGCTGCAAGTGATATTAATGAATCGCATGTCTATATATTTTGTTGCTTGGCCCAAAATATCAAGGATGGGTGTTTTCTTTCTCTGTCACCATCTTTCTACAAATCTACCTGAAACCCTTTAGCTTAAGTGTGGTTTTTATTGGTTAGTCAATGATGACTATTGTTGAGCTGACCTTTTGGCTGATGACCAAAAGACTGAGACTATAAATGGCGGAACCTTGCATGCTGAAGTGGTTTTAAGCAGCGTACAGTGGCTGTGCACTCAAAGTAATCTGGTAACTGATCGAACCACGTTGGTCCAAATCCATTACAGTCTTGGCCCGTGTTGACAGTCTAGAGATAAAATAATCGTCTGCGAGATGGTAAATTATTTAAATCAGTTTTCCGCTGATCAAATTGCTTCCTGTTCTCATTAAGATAAATGTATGCAGAAGTTCTGTTGCTAGACAGAGGAACATAGATCATGTGTGAGCAGGAGAAACAATCGCCACATTTATACATGGTATTAAAATGTGATCTCTATACGGACACCTTATCCAGATAATAAACAATACGATCTTACCTTTGCATTTGCACCCGGTATTTTTAATGCATTCTCGTTATCCTCATTGAAATCAAATCTCTGTCGTCCAAAGCAAAACGTGTGCTTGTAATTTGAGGTGGCAGCAAATCGTCTCTGCCTTAAAACATTTTAAGGCAAGGTTGTTGGAGTTGTTGAGTTAGGGTGGACATTATAAACTTTGCGGAAGACTGTCTTTGAGAAATTCTTGTCAATGAGGCAAATGTAATAAATGAAGTTATTCCTTCCTTTGTGTAAAAAATATTGTACAGGTGTGTTGCAGCACCAGTGTGTAGGCTGCTCTGTGACTAGATAAATGATACAGCGGGTAAAATAAGTATTGAACACGTCACCATTTTTCTCAATAAATATATTTCTCAAGGTGGTATTGACATGAAATTTTCACCAGATGTCGGTAACAACCCATGCAATCCACACGTACAAAGAAACCAAAATAAATAATTTATGTTATAAAGTTATGTGTAATGAAATGGAATGAGACAGGGAAAAAGTATTGAACACGCTTACTGAAATTTATTTAATACTTCCTACAAAAGCCTTTGTTGGTAATGACAGCTTCAAGACGCATCCTGTATGGAGAAACTAGTCGCATGCATTGCTCAGGTGTTATTTTGGCCCACTCTTCCGCACAAACAGTCTTCAAATCTTCAGGTTTCTGTGGACCTCTTCTATAAACTCTGATCTTTAGTTCTTTCCATAGATTTTCTAGTGGATTCAAGTAGGGTGACTGGCTGGGCCATTCTAGCAGCTTTATTTTCTGTCTCTGAAACCAATTGAGTTTCCTTGGCTGTGTGTTTGGGATTATTGTCTTGCTGAAATGTCCACCCTCGCTTCATCATCCTGGTAGATGGCAGCAGATTTTTATCAAGAATCTCTTGGTACATTTTTCCATTCATCCTTCCTTCATTCATATGACGTTTGCCAGTGCTGTATGCTGATAAACAGCCCCACACCATGATGTTCCCACCTCCAAACTTCACAGTGGGTATGGTGTTTTTGGGGTGATGTGCAGTGCCATTTGACCTCCAAACATGTTGTTTTTTATGGCATCCAAAGAGTTGAATTTTGGTCTCATCTGACCAGACTATATTCTCTCAGTATTTCACAGGCTTGTCTAAATGTTGTGTAGTAAAATTTAAACGTGCTTCAACATGCTTTTTCTTCTGCAATGGAGTCTTGCGCGGTGAGCGTGCATAGAGGCCATGGCGGTTGAGTGCATTACATATTGTTTTCTTTGAAACAATTGCACCTGCTGATTCCAGGTCTTTCTGAAGCTCTCCACCAGAGCATATGAGCGGGAGTGGGGAGCGGAAGGATTTTGTGTTGAGCGAGGAGCGGTCATTTTTTTAAAAGGTGGAGCGGAGCCTTATCTCTCACTCCAATTTCGCTCCGGTCGCTCATGCCCCACCCAGAATTCATCTTTGCACCTGCACGCCCACCCACACTATTTTCTTTCAAAACTGTGGAGTTTAATGTGTACTTCAGAAAAGAGAGAAGTCGTACAAGTGTACTATTCCTGTAAAAGTAACAGATGGGGATGATGTGGAACAAGAAAAAGAATGCGGCGACATTGTTGCAGTCGGTAAAGAGTCGTTTTGGAATCTATTTAAATTAATAACTTGTGGTCTCACTGTTTTTGTCGGCTTAAAAACGGAACATTATCCTTATGTCTTAGTTGAGTTGTGGTAAGTATTTTTTAAATGAAATGAAAATACGTAGCCTGGGGAAAAACGGCCAAGCTCATGTTTTATTTGTGAATAGAAGATTGCAGGTGAGGGTTGTACGATGCAGGGGGGGTTTTTTTTGAGCGGAGTGGTGAGCGAGTGGAGCGGGATAAAATTTATGATGGAGCGGAGAATGCGCAGAAACAGGTGGAGCTGACGAGCGGCGCAAATTGACAGGTCTGTGAGCAAGGAGTGGAAATGTTCACCCAGTCCGCTCTGCTCACATGCTCTGCTCTCCACAAGTGCTCCTTGGCTCTTGGACAACTCTTCTGATAATTATTTTCACTCCTCTGTCAGAAATCTTGCAAGGAGCACCTAGTTGTGGCCGGTTTATGGTTAAATGATGTTCTTTCCACTTCCAGATTATGGCCCCAACAGTGCTCACTGGAACATACAGAAGTTTAGAAATCCTTCTGTAACCAATGCCATCAGTATGTTTTGAAATAATAAAGTTGCGAAGGTCTTGAGAGAGCTCTTTAGTTTATCCATCATGAGATGTTTCTTGTGTGACACCTTGGTGATGAGACACCTTTTTATAGGCCATCAGTTGGGACTGAACCAGCTGATATTAATTTGCACTGAGAAGTAGCAGGATTGCTTTCTAATTACTGATAGATTTCAGCTGGTGTTTTGGCTTTCCATGCCTTTTTGCACCTCCCTTTCATCATGTGTTCAATACTTTTTCCCTGTGTCATTTCACATTATTACACATAACTTAATATATGGACATCTGTGCTTTGATTTCTTCTGTTAGTGTGGATTGCATGGGTTGTTACCGACATCTGGTGAAAATTTCATGTCAATAGCACCTTTAGAAATATATTTAATGAGAATAATGGTGACGTTTTCAATATTTATTTTACCCGCTGTATTTCATGCAGTTAAGTTGAAAAGCGCACCTTTTGGTGCTTTCATGCCACAACATATACAGAGTCGGTAATTAGTCATGTCTCTTTCTGTCTTCTCATTTACTCGTTCTCTAAATTAAAAAACAACAACCTATATTTTGTTAGGTAAAACCAAATATCTGTATTGATCAACGCAAATGCTGTGCATGCTTGTTTGGCTGATCAGATCACAGTCTCTCCTCAGTCGCCTTTGGTGCATTTACACCTGTACTTTCATGTTGTCAAGCACTATCTGATTGCAATCTGATCACCCAAAACAGAGCTGTAAAGGGAGTCAGTGAGTTACAGTTGTATGACAGTTGGATTATAATACCGTTGTTGAGGTTTCAGTGCCAAGCCACAGCTCACCTGAACTTCACCTCACTATTATGTTCACTCTTCAGTTTTCTCTGCAGAGTTCTTGAGCCCCATGACTTGTCATCCACCTTTTCATCCATATTTCGCATGATTCCCTACTTTCTTTGCCTTTTCCATGCAAACAGCTTCATAAATGAGCAACTGTGTCTGACAGTTGTCTGTTTCTGTTTTGGTACAGCCATACTGGGAATTCACTTTTTACATAGGATTGCAGGGGATGTCTAGCGACGCAATTCTGATTGTAGTCTGCATGTTGACGTACTGGGATTTACTCGTTCTGTATGTGCTTCTTTCTAGCTGCCAACACACAAAAAAAATCGTTGTGGGACTAACTGTTATGTGTGAGGGGTCTGGTCTTTGTTTCAACAAGGTCTGTGCCGCACAGGAAGTACGCAGCATTGCGTCACAGTCGTCACCTAAAGTTAAAGATTCCCTCAGGTGCAATTGTCTGTTGTTGGCATAAGAAAATCCCCCAAGACTGCTAGAATTCCAGGCAAAATATTGCAGAATATTTTCTACATAATGGCACTCCTCTATTAAACTAGCCAAGCTATTAATGAATAGATGGCATTTATCATGTATAACCTGTTTCTTAATACCTATTCACCTCTCCCCAAAACACTTCCTCTAACAGACCCACTAATGTTTGGATGACTACCTGACAAACAAATGCAAAAAATTCCCTTAAGGAAGTTTGATGTTATTCAACTAAAAAATATGTATTTTCAGATTATGTTTAAATTATAATCCTTGGAATATTTATTTAAAGACCCCACACAGCAAAGTCACTATATACACTCTCACTGGAAACAAATCTAAAATGTCCTGATATCAAACACACAGACATCAGTCAGTATCAGTCCATCCTCCTGTCCTCTCAGATTTGTGGCCTAACCCAAACTAAAATAAGCATTTAGACTACATACAGATCATTATTAGATTAACACGCATGATTTGGTTGTAAGAACAAAAACTGCGGACAAAGAAGGTGGAAATATCACTACTATTTTTTCTACTTTGTACTTGAGTTGTCATCAACCCGAGCAAACTGAACCACGGCCTTTCTGCTCTCTCTCTTCTCTCTGTCTGCTCTGTGTTTGTGTGTGAGTGAAGCTGAGCCCTGCCCTCTATTATGCGGAGGAGAGGACAGAGAAGCACGACTATAAATGACAGAAAAACGTGGTAGCACTAGGGGGGCTGCGGCCTGTATATACCATTGTGATTGATGATCATCAGGCTGTTTTGGTGGTGCCCTACGCCCAACACATGATGCACATGTACCTAGCAGCCGCACTCTGTTGCTTATAGTCAGCCATCTTCACCATAACTCAGTAGCTAGCTGTTAGCCTAGCTTAGAACATAAACATGATGTACATGATCTTGCCGTTGCATTTCACCATCCAGTTGGTTCAGCTGTGAGGAACATGTCCCTTGCGCATGCTGGTGTGGAGTTCTGCCATTATGTCTGCAGCCAGGTACTGTTTTGTTACAGGCGATCATAATGTCAAGAATTCAGTTTTAAATTTCCAGTTATTGACTTTTCTGCAGGGAAACTAGCGATTCATCTATGAACAGAATTTTCTCTCCACCCCTAGCTGTGATGAGATTTTATGGTGTGTATTGAGTTTGCAAGAGGTCCAAAGCTCCTGTGCTAGTACCACCAACACTCACTCAGTGCTCCGAGAGCTCCCAGTCCAGGCAGAGTCAGCTAATAAGACCGTTAGCTGCATGGCTAACTGAGATAACAGAGATGCCTCATGCGCATGCTCTTGCGGATGTCTGCCAGGCTGCAGCCAAGTCCGTCTGAGTCACAGTCACGCTGTAGAAAATAGTGTCTGTACTGTGATTACTAGTAGCTCCTCGGTGAAGCCACAGAAATAAGGCAGCAGAGGTACAGAAAGCACTACACAAAATGTGTTGATTAAGGTACCAATGAGACAAAGAAATACAACCCAAGAAGTCCAGCTAGAGTAAAATATTAATCCCTTTAAGGTTTCATATACAGACACTGTTCATAATGCTCACAGACAGGATTTTATAGCTGTTACATTGGCAACTGTTTTATCTTTTGATGGATGATTGGAAGTAAACAGTTGTAATACTCCGTTCATGTTACAAAGCACCAGGAATGTGCTCTTTCATGTATGATTGATTACCGCAGTGTTTTGCTGGATGCTTGTTTTCTGTACTGTATGTAGTGTATTCCCCATCCTTGGTCCTACTCTTGTTTTGGGTTTTTTTTTTTTGGGGGGGCAGATACAACAAAGGATATTTTCTTCTTGCTGTCAGAAGGTTGCCATCATGTTTGCTAGTGCACATGTGGAACTAAGTATACTGCAAATTTGTACTGTGTGTAGTATTGCAAGTCTGCAGCAGTCTGTGTCCGCTCTGGAGAATGATCGTGGTTTCAGTCAGAATTTCATGTGGGATTGTATACCATTACTTAGAACCCTTAATGGAGCTGACATTGCTTGACACTGTTAGCCACCTTCCTAGGCAAGTATAAATGAATATGTCTGAAAGTGACTGCATAATCATTTAGCTATCATTTTGATTTGCGAGACTGCCTCTGTTGATAACATCCTCCTTGCTGCTGCCCTCACAGAGTCTGCCCAGGTAGAGAAGCCATCAGCGACCCCTGCCTCCCAGTCATCATCCTCAGGCTCAGGGAGCTTGAACCCCTCATCAGGGCCCCCCGGATCATCTGCCTCCACAGTGCCCGTGTCCCCAGTCCTGCAGTCTCCCGCCCCTCCACTACTTCAGGACCCCACCTTGCTTCGCCAGCTTCTCCCAGCGCTTCAGACCGCCCTGCAGCTAAACAATGCCAGTGTGGACATGGCGAAAATAAACGAAGGTAAGATAAATGCAGATGAAACATGTACCTTCAACTGGTGTCTAGATTCAGCTAGCTGCACTGTGTTTGAGCACTAGTTACAGGGCGATGCTTTGAAATTATATGCTGTACTTCTATCAGCTTCTGTCCTGACTGCTCAGTGCCAGAGGCTTTGCCATGACATGATAATGCTTGCTGTTGGTCTGAGCACAGTATTGAATCTTATCTAACTTGACATCCCCATAGTACTATGGTGTTTGTATTGCTGTCTGGATGAAGAATACCTCCAGGCCAAGGTATGCTTGGCAAGAACTTACGTCAGAAAGCAAAAGTGTTCATAGAGGTTCCAACAGTCACACCTGAAGGGAAGTCGGAACATCCGGTTGTCAGAGATCCAATAATTGTAAATATGGGGTAGGGGTGGGTAAAAATATCGATTCATCAGTGCATTGCAATATATTTTTTCCCCAATTCAGTATCGATTCATTAAATCCTCTGAATTGATTCAAGCTCCTGGCCAGTGGGGGGGTGGTGAGCAACACGGAGGCCGCACTCAACCACACAACAACAACATGGCAAACGAAGTAGGTAGCAGCAGTGTTAAACCAGCGCCTTCAACTTTAAAAGCAGATGTTTGGAGTCAGTGTAAACCCGGAACACAGGAAATAGACAAAAGTAAGGTAGTGTGTAAGCTGTGCCAGGCAGTACTCAAATACTGCAATAACACAACAAATTTGCGCAACCACTTAAGCCGACACCATACAGATGCTCTGTAGCAACCCGCAGATTCAAAACAGACACAACTCGACAGATCCTTCCTTTGCAAACTGCCACCAAAACAAAAGACAAAAGATATATGTAAGGACCTACTACCGTACAGTGTCGTGGAAAACGGGGGTTTTAAGAAGATGGTATACACACTGCGACCACGATACGCCATACCAACACGCAAACACATGACGGAAGTCGCTTTCCCGAAGCTGTAATTCTACTTATTACTGAATCGATATCGAAGCATTTAAATCAATATCGAATCGATTACGAATCGAGTTGTGACCTAAAGAATCGAAATCGAATCGTGAGGTTCTTAACAATACCCAGCCCCAATATGGGGACAACAACACACACTTTCAGATGTCTCCTAGAAGGCAGCTGCTAGGGGGCCTGTACTTGAGTTTGCAGCCGTGAGAAGATTGTCAGACATGAAAGGTGTGGGGAGGGTTGCTGTTTCAGATGCTGTTTTACCATTTGACAAGCACTTCTGTTGGAGTGTAGCAGCATCTCCAGCCCATGCTGTTTGCTGTGAGCCCCTTAAACTCTCTAGCATATGAATGACTAGCCTAACAGTCGGTGTTGTGCCAACACTGAGTGGAAAACTTGGCTGACATTGTAGCAGGCACCTCATGCATCCTGACTGTCTGAGTCTTAGTTATATGATATAACCCAAGGAGCAGCAGTACATACACCTCTGCAGTCTGTATGGTTGAGAGGGAAGCTAGAGAATCTGTGTCAACTGTGAAAAGGCTCTGTGGCTTATTAGCCACTGTATTGTCAGGTAGTGTTGATGAGTTGTCAGTTTTAGCATTTAGCAATTTGTGTGTGTGTGTGTGTGTGTGTGTGTGTGTGTGTGTGTGTGTGTGTGTGTGTGTGTGTGTGTGTGTGTGTGTGTGTGTGTGTGTGTGTGTGTGTGTGTGGGTGTGTGTGTGTGTGTGTGTGTGTGTGTGTGTGTGTGTGTGTGTGTGTGTGTGTGTGTGTGTGTGTGTGTGTGTGTGTGTCCGTGTGTGTCCGTGTGTGTCCTAAAGAGGAAAATGTTTGTGACCCTTCCCTCAGCCCATACTATCCAAATCTGAAGATATTGTCCTTAGTGAAAACATGTTCAGTTGGTTTTCAGTGTAGCCTGTTGAAGCTAATGCCATTCTTACTGAACATATTTATATGGAACACATTATTGAATTTAACAGTCAAATTCACTGACGCAGTGCAGAAACCATTCTAGAAGCAGGTCTTAAAATGTCAGTGCACAGGCTAACTGTGTGTGTTTTCCTCTCTCTAGTTCTCACAGCTGCTGTCACACAAGCTTCATTACAGTCGATGCTCCATAAGATCCTCACTGCTGGACCCTCGGCTTTCAATATCACTACTATCCTCTCTCAAGCTGCTCAACTCTCCAACCAAGGTAAACACAGGTCTAGTCAACCATTGTGTGTGCATTGTCAGTTATGTGTGTTGTATAATGACTACTTTGTCAGAGCGGACCTTGCGTGTTCTCTGTATGTTTCCTATTTGTTAAATAGCTCTGATTAAGGTTATAGCATCAGCTAACAGAAAATCCATTTCCTCACTTGTATTTATGACAGCGATCATCTATTTACTCATGTAGTGGTTTCCATGCTGGGTATTAAATGTTGTAGATTGTATTGATTACTTAGATTGTCTTTCTTGTTGTGTACCTCGAGCAGCTCAGCAATCGAACCAGTCACCTATGTCATTAACGTCGGACGCCTCATCGCCCAGGTCTTATGTTTCTCCAAGGATCAGCACACCACAGACCAACGCTGGTCCTCTCAAACCCCTCCTCAGCACACAGCCTGTCATCTCACAGACAAAAGTAAGACACAAAAACATTCAACAAGCTTATACAGTATCCAGTTGGGTGGAGGAAGTAGCCGGCTGCATGAGTTTTGGTACACTTTCCCTGGGAGACTAACACTCTGCAATGGAAAATAAAACAACAGTTGGCGTGTATGAACTTGAAATACTTGCAGTGAGGACTTGAGCCTTGCTTCTTTGTTCAGGCGCAGTTGAGTTTTATAAATAAAATGGACAACATTCAGTTGTTCATGATAAAAGAAGTTCAACAAGTGGCAGATAATCAAACCTGCAGTCATATGAAAAGGTGACTTGGATTGAATTTAGATTGGCACTGAAGCCTTGTTCTATGGCATTCATTTATGGTCTCTGTCCACTTGGCTTAAATGTAGCAAGTGCAGGAGAATCATGCAAAAGGAGTCAAATGGATCCCATATTAAAAACACACAATACACTGAGTCACGTGGCATCTCAACCAGACACTTAAAATAAGAGAGATTCATACTAACAGGGTTAGTGATGCATGGTGTTGACAAATGGCTGCACAAAATATACTTTTATTATTTGTTCGCTTCAATCTCATGGAGAGGGCTTGTTTTGACCAGGTGTTTCTAACTTTCTGCGTTCAGGTGAGCACGTCATCAGTGAAGCAGGCATCTCATCCCCAGCCCACATCCCAGCAGCCCCTCTCCAGCGACAAGCAGCACAGTCACGATGCCCACACGGCCTCCCCGCGCACCCTCCACCGCCAAGGGTACGTACAAGCACACAACTCCCCCAAGATTGAAAAGAATAAGTAGCTGGAGAATTGAACTCTAATTGACTCTGATACGGTGGGATGTTATTGTTGACTGTATACAGTTAAGTTTAGTCTGTTGGCCTCTGAATGCTGAATTATTCTTAAAGATGCAACATCTGGACGCCCAGTTAGCTCCGTCGGTAGAGCTGGCGACCCATATATGGAGTTAATGCAGCGGCCCGGGTTCGAATCCGACCTGCAGCCCTTTGCTGCGTGTCATCCCCTCTCTCCACCCACCTTTCCTGTCTCTCTACAGCCAGTCCCTCCAGAAACATGCGATTTGTCGATCGCATTATTCAATGCATAATCAGCCAAAGTCTGCATATTAATGTGGGGGCCGCATTTTTTAAATACGCTGCATAAATTGCCGATTTCCGCACAAAATATGCGGGGCTTGCATCGTTTCATAATCCCCGCATTTTCGTTGCAAAAAGGTCACATATAACAAAGTTGAAAAATGTTGCGTTTACTTCACACAAGAGCAGCCATTTTCCCCTGTTGCCATGGGAACGTTATGAAGTGATGTAATTACGCGACGTGAACATCATTGAAAAGCTGCAAACCCTGCGATGAAGCCATGATGAAGGGGGAGGAGATGAGATGGCGAATGATTGGCCAGTGTTAGAGGCTACGCAGTTGTAGTTGTCATTTTCACAGTGGACTGTTGTAGTTTCATTCAGGAGTTGATGCAACTTTACAGTTGTAAGATTGCACTTTTTTGTTACCAGTGGGTTGGATCATACTAGTTTCAAAAACCTTAGTTGTAAGTATATTAGTAGTATGTAAAAAAGAGATTGCACTTTGTGCATTGAAAGCACTTATTTTAACAGAAGATGTCTGTTTTGTATAGCTACCTCTGTAAAACAGGAAGCACACATTTTATTTTTTTATATTTTAGTTATTCATTTTTACAGAAGTTGTAGCATATTCCTTTTGTAAAGCTACAGAACTTAAATATTCCCAGCACTTTCTGTGATGTAGTATGCTTGCTTATCATAGGAAGTAATAAGAGATAAAAGGTAGTAGCCTAGTGAGAACAGGGTGTTGGGGAATCACTTTTTTTCCCTCTTTTTATCAAACTGCAGTTTTTGCAAGTTCCCGCAATTTCATCGCATAAAATTGCATAAATATGCATATCATTTTAAGAAAACGTGCCGCATAATCAAGGATTTTTGCCCGCAACAATGACCAAAAAACTTTTTTCTGGAAGGACTGTACAGCTGTCTATCTATAAAGCCAACAAAAGGCCAAAAAAAAAAGATGCAACCTCTTTGTCATTGTTGTTTTAGAAATCATCTGTGTGTATTGATGTGCTTTATTGTCAAATCATCTACACATGTAGCCAAATACAGTGGAAATACTGCCATGATGATTGACAGCCCATTCACATCAATTTATAAGTGGAGTTTTTACCAACATACAACCTTAGATAGTCATCATAGTGTAGTGTTGTGGCACCATCTGCTGGTCATTGATGGAACCATGAGTGGCTGCTTCGTTCAGTTGTCTCTTGGTTACACAAAATAAAAGAATGACTTCAGTGATGTTCATTTGTGCAGTGGAATATATTTCTATTAACAGTCTGTGGATAGATTTGGTAGCTGCAGACAACGTAGTCGTTCATATAAATATTTAATCACAAGAGTCCATGAGTTGCTGCTTTAGTTTCAAGGTCAGTCATTTTGCTCAGAAGTCAGTGAAGAAGAGGGAACTGAAGAGGAGCTCCAGTTCTTAGCTCACAAGAGGCAAAATGGACTCCAGTCAGTCTCTCAGGCACACTTGAATAGGGAGGTTGTACAATTTTGTTGTTTCCCTCTACCTGATCCCAGACTTGGCCTTACTCAGACTTGCAGGGTTTGCAGCTACAAGCGTTCGGCCTACAGTATGTGGATGAAGCTTAATGCCATTTCTACAACTTTCACTGGCTGTGTAACAGTGTGTACTGTGTGCACTGCTGTGTTTGTTTTTCTCTACTTGGGCCCTATGTTTATGGTTGTGATGGGAATGTGATCAGGGCATTCCTATGAAAGAGGTTTCCTCTCAGTGAATCTTCACTGAATAAATAATGGTTTAACAATATGTATATGGTTGTGTGCTGGGCACTAAGACACAATTCAACAGCCCTTCCAGCCCAGTAGTACCATGAATGAGCAGATCCAGTCGACACTGACAGAACTGCTGCTGCTTATTGACAGAGAGCTTGGAAGAATGAAGTCACCAGTTTGTTCATACACAGCATGTCTCAATGCTAACATGCTTCTTCACCCTATGTTGATCGCAGCAGTCAGAGGAGTCCCTCCCCGGGTCCCAACCACGTCGCCTCCAGCAGCAGCAACGCCCCCAACTCTGCCTCTGCTCCCCCCACTGCCTCAGCATCGCGGCCCTCCTGCTCCTTCACTCCCACCCTCGCTGCCCACTTCAATGAGAATCTTATCAAACATGTACAGGGTTGGTCTGCTGAACACGCAGAGAAACAGGTTGGTCCCAGCAACACTTCACCAAGCACCCTACTGACTGGAATGGCATTTTTGCTGATTGTGGTTATTCACGGCACCGCCTTTTTAAAACAAGTTTTCTATCTGACAAACTATCAAGGCATCAAGACTACGTGAAGAGGCTCACACCATGGGGAGCATCTGTATGTCTGAGAACTGTACCGAGCTCAAAAACCTCCGGTCCTTGGTCAGAGTCTGTGAAATACAAGCAACATTGCGTGAGCAGAGGTGAGAATACAGTCTAGAAGCATCCACCTGTTGCTGTGTAAAGTAAACTTTAATCCAAGCACAAACACTGACGATGATTGTTCTCTCTGTCTCTTCCACAGGATACTGTTTCTGAGACAGCAAATCAAAGAACTTGAAAAGTTGAAGAATCAGAATTCTTTCATGGTCTGAGAACTTCTGGTTGCGATTGGAAGCGGGCGTTTGGGAAGGGAAGGGGGGAGAAGACCCATTGCACATAGTTGGAAGCTGGAGGGAGAGCAGTTGTTCAGTTCCTCTTGAGCCCGGTCTCAACACACACACACACACACAGGAGCTGCAGTCGGGTTGGCTTTGGACCGTTGGGCTGGGAGAACCAAGAGGGCAGAGAGAACATGAAGAGCTGTTGGGAGGAGGAGGAGGAGGAGGAGGAGGAGGAGGGTGGGGTGGTTTACAAGACTCTGTTTTGTAAGAAACCCTCGGTGGGAAAAAATGTAGATTTCTTGTAGATGTTATTATCTATGTTGTAAATATGTTTTGTAGATTGAAGCCATGGAAAGCCATGCCTATCAAAGCTTTTGACATCCAAACTAATCAACGCCTAGGCGGCTACATTCATTAGCTAGCCTTTCCTTCATGTTAACTCGTCTGCAGACTTAAAGCTTCATTTTGTCCGTTCATAGATCATTGAACCGCTGAGTGCGTGCGACCTGCATGTAAACGGAGGAGGATGTTTGTAAGCCATTTATTTACACAGAAGCTTAGCATAAAGCATAACACACTGGTGTCAAAGTAGTTTTTCCCTCAAATATTGGTAAACTGAGTACTCTGTCTAGATTCTCTTCCTGTGCCCTCTCCGGGCGAACTGTAACCTCTTACTCAACGTGGTAAACGCCCCCTCCCCGCAGGTCCGTCACGACCGCTCACAAACGGTTCAGTGATCTATTTGCAGCTTCTGGTGGCCCTGCATGTTCCAGTCTGAAAAAAACAGTGCCTGGTGGTGTGGTGGAGTGAGTGATTTAGAAACAATTTAAGAGATGTGATGGCGTGCTGCTTTGGACCATTCCCACTCCCCCTTTCCTCTCCCCTTGGCCTCAGCCCTGCCCTGCCACACCCCCTCTCCTGAGACTACACTTCACACCCTCCTTGTAGTTTTTTCTTTGTGTTCCAGCAGGTTTTGTTCCTCTTTTTTTCCCTCCTGGTTCATTCCTTTGTACAGTCGCTAACATACAGTGGAGTTTTAAGAAGAGGACGCAGAATTAAAAAAAAAAAAGGTTTTATTTATAAGAGTTGTAGTGACGAGCAGTAAATCACAATGATATCCATACATTTTCATTTGCACCCAGTTTAGGAGTGGTAGAATCCAGCTACAGCAGGTCAGAGGCGGATGTATGTGGATCTCCTCTTGTGTCAGAGCAGGGCGCCAAGAGGTCACAAGGTCAAATGTGAAATTATGTATTGTAATAAACATGTTCAACTAAAGCGAGCACTGGTTATTTTATTGGAGTGTTAGGTTTGGTTCATACGCTAGTGCCTTGTGGAAAGTCTTAAGTGTCACAGCCTCGTTTACCTGCAGCCCCCACGTTTTCTTTGCTCCCCACTGACCAACGACGGAAAGATCTTCAACAAGCGTCTCACACGCAGTGTTGTTTTTGTTTGGCACGTCCCATCCCTCTCTTATGTTTGTTGAAGAGCAGGGTCCTAAGCTGCAAAGGCCTGTTTATTTTCCCCCCCACCATACTATCTATTGAGTCTATAGCTGAACCGCACCACACGTTCAGTAAAGGTGACCACATCATTGCTTTGTATATTGTTTCCTGAAGTATATTGACAAATGAAATAAAATATGCCTCTCCAGGGCCATGTTGTTCTTGGGTTTTTGATGGTCCCTTTAGCTTCCAGTTCTTATATTGTTGGACTTCAAAAAAACATGTTTTGGATAGTTTAAATCAGGAGTGGCTGCATGTTATTTATCACTTTTTTTGAGAGGAAGAGCCCCACTATTCCTAAAGGAGTCAATCTTTCACATCCATCCACAGTGTAACCTGTGCACTCTGCTGCCCCCTGCTGGTGCTCATGTTTTGCACTGCACGCAGAGGGGGGTCTGACCTCTGTTTAGAAGATTAGTGTTATCAGATCAAAGCCTAGTGTGGTTCATCTTCCTGGTATGTCCTGCTCCAGTCTCAACTTGCAAGACATTTTTGAACCCGACACACACACGGTCTCTCCTCTAGCCTTATTCAGTGATTACATGGTCGGTTAGTGTGTGAGTAGCATTCTGCTCATGTCTTAAGGTGGCCTATTTAAAGATCCTCCTCCAGACATGTATGGGGACAATGTGTGTCTAAAGTTTATTCCCAAACATTTTTTTCCACATGTACTCAGGCATCTACTCCTATTTTATTAAAAAAATCCAGAGTCTATGATTATGCAAACTGTGTCCATTTCTTAAGATGTTTCCTGCTTCACTGTAAAGTCCATCCTCCGTGTATGAAGTAGGCGTAAAACAGACACAGTAAAAACAAAAATAGACTAAAATGAAATGAATAGAATTTTGTGAGACTTAAAACATTCCAACAATAAAATATTCAAATAAAAGCCAATAAAATAAACGGGATTAAAGTATGAAAACCAGAGTATGATTGCTCAATATGAATAGAAGACCTAAGAAATTACAACAATAACAAAAAAACGTTAAGAAGTACGTCAAATAAAGGATAAAGTACAGAAAACCAAGATAGACTTAAAAACAAAGGCAATACATGAGATGAGACTTTAAATAAAGAAGTCTTAAGCTTTGTTCTCTCTGTACAGGTCCCTGGTTGTACCACCTTCTACCTACAGAGGGCAGTAAGATGACTATATATCAGCTAGAGACAGGAAGAAAACCAGTTGAAAGTGCAGATGGGCCTTTTATGGTAGACCATAAAACAAGAATATTTTGAAAAATGTAAATTATTCATATTTCAGTGGCATACATAAAGTTTAAATGAAGACACAAAACTAGTTTGGATGAAATGATCTGTAAATAGAATGTATTCTAGTTGTATGTCTTACATTTCTGTTTGTTTGCAAAAAACATTTTTTTCAACCTTGAACTGTTCTATAATATTTTTGACTTATAACTGAGTTTGTGCTGAAGAAAAGGATACCATATGGATTTATTGTTTAAAAGATGCTAAACAAATACAAAATAAATGCATAGAAAGTCTGTAAAATGACCCAAAATGAACCTCCAGCAGGTTAATATTCACATTGAACTGATCTAAATAGATCTATGGTACATGACAATGTTTACTGTATTAATTACAATTGTTGAAATAGGTTTTTGTGTTTGTGTTGTTTTCATTGTATTTTGCACTTTACACATATAGAAGAAACTTTTATAATTCATTTTTTCTGTCTTAATTTTGCATACCAATTTTTACTCTGACACTGTGTCAAACTGCTCTTTCTGAGGTCAAGAATGAACTCTCACCCTCAAGACAAAGTTTATTTATTTACATATGAACGATGAAGAACATGCATTTGACCATTTTTATGAATTCCTCCAGACCTATGTCATTTAGATTGAGAAGAAACTTCCTTAGACACTGCATAAATATCTCAACATGGACACAGTCGGAATAAGGAAGCCCTATTTTCTGCCCATACACTGTCAGAGACTGATGATATATGGTAGAAAGCTGCCCCACTCCTGATGATCAAACGCAGGTTATCTCCAAAGTCATCTGAGTGTGTGGATGAGAGAACAGAGCGCCACTGGATTAATTCTCCACATAAAACCAGCAAAAACAAAGGTGGATGGCGTCAGTTTCCTATCTCCGAGCACTCCAGATAAAGTCTGCGTGAATGCCTCTGAATGCAGAGCCCGGTAACCCAATCTGCAACATCAAAGCCACTGCAAACAGTTTCCCTGCACATCTCCAGCGTGTATCCACGTCCCGCTCACACACTGCTCGCTCCATTATCCTGAGGAGAATAAAATAGATCACGGAGGACGGAGACAGTCTGCCTGTCTCTGATTCTTCTGAGACCTTGATATGGCTCACATCAAAGAGAGGAGAGGAAGCCGGGAGGTGTTGGAGGAAGTCTGTCTGTCCTGGTGTGTGTCCTGGTGTACCATGGAGGGGGGTGGGGGGCAGGTTGAGTAGACCCTCAGGAGTATTTCTCTCAGTTTGGGCAGTCAGGACTCCGTTTGAAGGCTCGGTTTGGAGGTTGTGTTTAAAGTTTAATTTAAAATCCAGGTAGACTTGACCTCCACTCCTCCCCCCCCCCCCAACCCCAACCATCTCAGCAGCTACCTAGCCATCGTTGCCCCCCATCCCCAGCAGCAGCAGGGGGGCTTTTGTTAAGCCTGTTCTAGGTCACACCTACAAGTGTCTCCTAATGTGTGAAAGCAGACACAACCTGTGGGGTGTAATCTGTCCCTTAAAGGCCACTTACATTAACCCCCCCCCCACCAACCCCCTGCACTGAAAGCTTGTTGACGCTCATCCTCTCAGCATGAAAAGACACACAGTTTTGTTTTCTTACTCGTGGGCTTTCCCGTCTACCAGCCGGGAGCAGGTTCGCCTCACCAACCCGGTTTCAGGGAGGAGCCGTAGTCCTTCTGCAGTCTGAGAGACGGGCTTCATTTTACACGACAGCTTGAGTTTAATTATGACGAGAAGTTGTACTCAGCTTGTGAAAGCAGTTGTATAATCCCGTGGCTCTTGAGCTTTCTGACAAAAACAACCCTGATGATGTCATAGTGATGTCATGCGGGTTATTCCGGCTTGGAGACTTTTTAACGGAAAGCCTGCTTTGGTTACACAGCTGAAGGTCTGTAAGGAGTGCCAGGCAGGGAAGGTTTCACTAAAACATGCTATTGTGTTGCATTATGGGAAATGGAGGACCCAGTGTTTTTTGAGTATGACCCATACTAGGGACTAAAAATCAGGATATCTTTGAGTTTGATTATCTGAGTTTGACCAGGCTTTTTTAATCTGCCTCTCGCAAGTTGCTGAACTTGTCAGAGTTGCAGTACTATAAAGGCCGGAGTGTCCCTTTAATGTCCATAACTCACCTGTATTGGTTGATATCTGGAGCCCAAGAGGACAGTCTGAGATGAAACTAGTTTGTAAAATAAAAAGTTTTTACCAATTTTGACCACCAGATGGTGATGTTCCACTATCCATCACAAGTACAGGCAGGTTTAAAGAGACTGAGGAGCTGATCACAGACCAGTAAAGGGGCATTTCTGGTCCTATTTAATGGAACAAAATCCAGCTTGTGTCATATGTCTTATATATATTAAAGCACTGATAAGAGGAGTCATAGACACCGTGTAGGGAGAGACAGACAGTATCACAGAAACCGATGAAGACCAAAGAAGGCCACGATGCAGCATAAAACTTCCCCTCTCTCCTGCAGTTCTCAGTACAGATAATTGATGAAACGCTGGTCGTGGACTGGCGCCTGTGTGAAATTGCAGATAATTATGGTAATTGCAGCGAGCAGTTTCTCTGTTCCCCACAGCAGCATCCTCATCCTGTTGTCTGCTGGCCGCACTGAGGCCCTGAGGATGCTCTGTGTCTGCAGGCGGGGCCCCTGAACGCACACAGACCGGGTCCTAATGGCGCAGGGTAGGACAGGACCACCAGACTGCAACTCATATTTGTACTCTCGTTTACTTTCTTTTTCTGTATTTAAACAGGAAGTCTCTTTTCCGAGGGAGACCTGGCCTAGACAACACACCTGTAAAAAAAAACCAAAAACATATTAAACAAATTAATTTTAAAATTAAAAAAATAAACTAATTTATATATATATATATATTAAAAAAAAAAAAAAAAAAAAAAAAAAAAAAAATATATATAATTAAAGCATGTCAAATATAAATGTAGGGTCATTAACTTTAAATATTGATTTGTTTTTTTACCAGTGAAAACAACTGTCGCTGATACAGATCGCGCGCGCGCACGTGTGTTTTGCATTGCCGTTTAACAGGCTATTGTGTCGGCGCGCGCGCTCTGTGCGTGTGCGTGTGTGTGTGTGTGTGTGTGGTGTGTCGTCTCGGTGGCGCCATGTGCCTTTTTGGATTGCTAATTTCTGTAAAGGGCTGTCCGCTCCTCCTCCCGGCGGCAGCAGCAGTCTGTAGCCCGGAGGGAAGCGGCTCAGCGCGGCGTCAACCTGGCTGCCAGCGGGATGACGCTGCAGGTAGCTGCTACCGACGGCCCGCCTCCGCTCACACACTCACACACTCACTGCTAATAGGAAAGGCAACGAGCGGACTGCACACACACTGCTGTATGTTACAGTGCCAGTCACATGCATTATCTTCATCCTCTCTGGGCTGCTGGTCTAACCTGTATTTCATAAAGCTGTGGATTTCTTCTTGCACATTCAGCATAAAGGAAATAGATTGCAAGTGTTAAGGACGAGCTTCTTTCATATTCAGTACATAAACAGGATCATTTAAAACATGTAAGTTACACATATGTCAGTGCACACGTTATGAAATATTTCAATATTAAACAGTGAAGTAATCTCAGTGTCCACTCTGCCCACAGTGGGACAGAGTGGGGCTGTCCACTGTCTGTGTGTGGGACAGTTAGTTAACCAGTGGAGTGACTGCTGCCCGGACCAATGGTATCCAGCAATGACATATGGAATATGGTATAATGGAAATGAGGGACGATGAATGAAGAGATCGGCCTGAACTGAGCCATAAAGCCACAGATTGACAGACAGAACACAACCGGAACATGGAGGACTTGGCCTACAAAATAAAAGCGCCATGCTGGTAAATCCGCAGTCAGTGACTGAAAGGTGCAGAACGACGAAATCATGTTGAAACAGAGGAAATACCGAGTACAAAC